GGGGGAGGAAGAATTTAAGAATTAGAGGAAAGTTGTATATTTCATTGTTGCTACCCTGCACCCTGACTGGTTCGTCTCCTCCCTGCAACCCTTAAGTAACGGGGTGTCCAGTTGCCTACAGATGGGCTTTGGGTCTCCACTCTGCACTCACCCTCATTTACAATATGATTTTTTGTTCTTTGATACCTGATAACCTGGTCTCTTCGACACCTCATGGTCACACAGGCTGGTGTGCTTCTTCCATGTGGGCTTTGTTGCTTCTGAGCTAGATGGCCGCTTGTTTATCTTCAAGCCTTAAGACCCCAGACCCTATATCTTTTGATAGCTGGACACCATCAGCTTTCTTCACTACATTTGCTTATGCACACATTTGTCTTCAGTGATCATCTCGGGAAGGTGGGCACCCACTGATATGATTTTTTGTTCTTCGATGTCTGATACTTTGTCCCTTCCACACCTCGTGGTCACACAGGCTGGTGTGCTCCTTCCATGTGGGCTTTGATGCTTCTGAGCTACATTGCTGCTTGTTTACCTGAAAGACTTTAAGACCCCAGATGCTATCTTAATACATCTTCTTATAAACCTGATTCCTTAGAAAAGCAATTGCACTGTGATCGCTTCCTATGATCACTGTAAAAACCTGCTTCTGTCTCAGTTTCAGGTACATGACTTGGTTGATTTTCAACAGTTTTAAAGAAGTTTGGAGGTAGGAAACCCCACTGTCTCATTCAGTCTCACATTTCAGAATAAATGTGGAGTTTCTCAGATCTGGTCTCTACCTTTGGCTGAAACAGTGACACGTTATCTCAGATATTGCTTCCGCGGCAGCAAGATCCTTCGCTCGGCCCCTAAAAATGTCATCTCTGAATGTCAGGTTTTCCTTCTCTTGCATTCGTTTGACTTGGGTTCCTTCAAGCATCCAGACTTCTCTGATAATTGTTATGCTTTAAGTTCTGTACAGGAAATTATAATACTTTGTTTTTTTTACCATTTTCCAGATTTCTCCTGATTTTGAAAAACATATACATTATATTAGACCTTAAACTCACAGCACTAGGTCTATGGAAGGCTAAGGGTAATAGTGAAAACCCAAAATCCATTTGCAGAGTCTCCAAGTGATTTCACCTCCACTGACTTCCTCATGACTATGGATGTGAACAGTCGGGCCCTCAGGCAGAGGTCATTAGAAAGGGAATGACTACCATTCCTATAACCTCGTCCAGGCTGGCCTGGGTGTGTCTTTGACAAAGTCAATGAGTGCATGCCCTGACTGCCTTGTTCAGAGGGACTTGGACGTGTCTTCTAGGTGCTTCTGTCTGGTACAATGTGCATTTCCCAATCATTGTCTAGTTTCTGTTTCTGCAGTCTGGCCTGAACCTGTGATGTATTCATCTGCCACCAATTATGCTTCAGTCAGTTTCCTTTGTCCTCCCACATCCTACGTAAGCCACTGGTCTCTGTAACCCCTTAGACAGCATTATGATTTAATACTAATGGGCTCTCCCACTCCAATGATATGTCTTTGTCTTTTCCTTTTGCCTAAGATTTAATAAATGTCCTTCTCTACTACTTCCTATACTATTCACCACATTGGATAAACATCTAATTAAGGCATAGGCTCCCAAGCTTATTCAGCCCCCCATTTCCTTTTCAGAAAAAATCAAAAATCCTCAGGACAATGGAAAATGTTTGTACTACAGCCCACACCCCGGGATGAAACGTAGTGATCTGCTTTGACATCCCATCAACCCAGCACCCCCCATGGGGGAGTATCATCCACTTTGGGAAACACCGCTCAACATTAACTTTTCCACGTGCCCTTATAACACTCAATGTCCAACTTTCATATGCCTATGAAGCAATTGCAAATACCATCGTTAGGGTCAAAGGAATATCCTTGTTTTTCAATACTCTAAAGATGTCCTCCACAGCAGATTTTCCTAATGCAATGAGTCATTTGGTCTCTTTGCTGCTGCCTACATAAGCAAAACAAAATCCTTGACAACGTCAATCTTTTCTCCATTTCTCATGATGTGACTTATCGGTCCAATTGTGAGGATTTCAGTCTTCTTTCATTGAGACGTGATCCGTACTGAAGGCTGCAATCGTTGATCTTCATCAGCAAGTGCTTCAGGTCCTCCTCACTTTCAGCAAGCAAAGTTGTGTCATCTCCTTATGGCAGGCTGTTAATTCACCTTCCTCCAATCCTGCTGCCATATTCTCCTTTATGTAATCCAGCCTGATAACTTGCTTAGCATACAGACTGAATAGGTATGGTGAGAGGATACAACTCTGATGCAAGTGTGGTCAACAGAAAGTAAAAGAAATGGAGCAAACACTGGGAACAGGCAAGTCACGTCCAGGATGTTAGAGAAGGGTCTCCACTGCCCACTGCAAGATGGCCATGTCAAAACTAACCCACAATGTCGGCAAGGGGTGGGGGGGAAACCACATGGTTGACGGATTTTGCTCTTAGCTCTCACAGGTCACTAGGTTTTCACATATAAACTTTCCGAGCAGAGTACAAGCACAGCCGAGGTGAACCAGCAAGGCAGGGCAAGGTGCCAGGTAGAGCTGTGACAGCGGCTTGGCAGGACACCGCGACAGTGAAAGCCAGCGTGAGTGTCCTGAGACACGAAAGCACAAGCATGAGTGACAAACTGAGGGATCCAAGCACGAGTTTTACTTCAGCCCCAAGCAAAGACTTCCTCAGCTTGGTCTCCCACTGCAAGCACAGAGGAAGGCTGCCCTTGGCCTAGTGAAGACAGGAGGGAAAGGAGACACTCTGGAGGAGCAAGCAATTCTCCGAGAGGTGACTGCGAAAGAAAGATTGAGGCGCACAGAGACTATGTGCAGTGCCCACACTTCCAGAGTGGGGAGGGGCTTATTGAAATAGGAGAGAAATCTAGTCCATTCATATGGCCCTGCTAGCCATTAATTTCTCATGTGATGTATTACAGTCCTATTTCGGAGGGCATACTCTGCTAATCTAAAGGACAGGATTAAGGTAGGATTAAGTCCTGATCTCAGTAGAGGGTGTGAATCTACTTTACTAGAGGGTGTGACGTAAGAAGCCAGCCTTCGTTTTCCTTGGGGTCATGGTCAGCTAAAAGACAAAACCACACCCCCATCAAAGGCACTTCTAAGAGCCATTTCAGACAGACAGAGGAATCCCTGCACCCTTGGAAGAGCCCGTTGCAGAGCTGCCTGACATGGCAGAGACCCGCCCGAGGCAGCAGAGACTGTAGCACAGAGACGGCGCAGAGCAATGCTGAGCCTCTGGGGTCCTTTCTCTTCATGTGACTAAGGAACTGCGAGACAGAGATAGGTGAGCTGTCTTCGTGGCTCGCAGATGTAGAAGCCAAGGGACTACATGGCCGAGAGGCTGAGAACCTGAGAGAGACGTGTTGCTGTGAATCAGTGGCTGCACCTTTGCTGTTTCATGATCCCGATTTGCAGTAACCTATTACCTTTCTAATAAACCCCAGTCAGGGCACCATCTGTGGATTCTGTGTGGCCCCTGCAACACCTTACTGAACCTCGCACAGAAGGACGGCGCCACAGGAGGGCCTGGGGGTGTCAGAATGGGCGAAGAAGGAAGGAGCATGGAAGCATTTCTGCCCCCTGCATGGTGCCAATAAGGTAGCCAGGGGACTCAGCAATGGCCACCCCATGCCGTTTATGCATAATTAAGCCATTTCTTTGGCTAACTTATATTGATCTGAATATGATATTTGCAGCCCAGGCACAAAAGGTACAAAAGGTGAGCTGGCTGCCCCATACTCACCTCACTCACAGATCCCTCATCCGAATGTCAGCCGCCGGCCCTCTATTTGCTGCTGCTCCTCATCTCAGGGCCTGGGCACACGTTATGCCTTTGGCCTTGACTGCTTTCATTCTCCTGATTAACGCTTACACTCACAATCACCTTAGAACTATTTCCCACAAGAAGCACATCCTAATCCTTCAAGTTTGGGTTCAATCTCTTTCCTGTGTGGTCTAAAGACACAGCCTGCATCTGCATGTCCTAGTGAATATTTTTTTAAATCATTTTATTGGTGGCTCGTACAACTCTCATCACAATCCATCCATCCATCCATCCATCCATCCATCCATCCATCCATCCATCCATCCATCCATCCACCCATCCATTGTGTCACGCACATTTGTACATTTGTTGCCATCATCATTCCCAAAACATTTGCTTTCTACTTGAGCCCTTGGTATCAGCTCCTCCTTTTCCACTCCTTCCCTCATGAACCCTTCATAATTTATACATTATTATTATTTTGCCATGTCTTACACTGTCTGACGTCTCCCATCACCCACTTTTCTGTTGTCCATCCCCCAGGGAATGGGTTTTATGTAGATCCTTGTAATTGGTTCCCCCTTTCTACCCCACCTTCCCTCCACCCTCCCAGTATCACCACTCTTACCACTGGTCCAGCCAAGTGAATATTTTAATGTCGACTAAAGATTAATCCAGAAATTGACTAGACCAATCTCAGTGAGGACAAAGATCTTGCCTGTTCCTACATTAGTATCACCACAGCACCTCATGTGAATCTGGGCCTTTAGTAAGAACACAAAACTGTTGGTTCAACTGCAATGTCTCTGAGCAAGGAGAGAGAGAAATGTCATAGAAAACAATTGTAAGTAAAGGGTCACCTCGCACTTTGTAAAGTTCAGGACCCAGGACAATGTTAAGAACAGACTTTGGTTTCTCACTTCAGAGGAACTAAGACATTTCACCCACTCTCAGAAGAAGCTTTTGCCGAGTTAAGAGAGTCATTTATTGCACACCAGATCAGCAAAATGGACATTAAGTAAATAAATGGTGAGTGCTATACACCGAGCTTGTAAGAGACAGCGAAAAGTTCGTTGAAAGCTTACCTTTGCAATTGATGTCACCAATGATGTCATTCTTCTTCATGGTTTCAAGGACCTGTCTCACTTCCTCCGTGTTGCCATTTCTGGCATGATGAAGAAGGTGTTGTTCTGTTTCTGTGTTCATTTCTAGAAAAAATAAATAATAGCTATTATCTAAGAACATGATGAGCTTTTAGACATTGTTGTTAGGTGCCATCTAGTCTGTTCCAACCAATGCACAGCAGAAAGACTATGCTTATCTCCAGAGCACCCATGGTCTGCTGTTTACTATTCTCAAGAGCCCTGTCACCCTGTTCACTCGCCTGCCAGACCTTTCCTTTGAGATGTTCTCCCAAAGGAGTCAGGATGTCAGATTCACACTTTGCCCAATCTATTGTGGTTTGCACACCTCGACCATATATACTCTGTTAAAATAAAATTTCTCTCGTGATTCCGGTTCTGGGAAGAGCCCCTGTATGTTCTGTTATCATTGTTTTCTTCCATAATCACACAGGCCATTCCTCATGACCTCATTACTGAGGGGCTGGTTCCCATACATGCAGAAAACAGGTATTGGGGGGAGTTAAAGACTGGCTGGAAGAGCCACAGTAAATAATTCACTGTCTCCTGTAACTCCCTTAGCCATGAGTATCGTCTGTCAGTTCTATGTGGCTATTGTAACAGATGATCAAACCTAACCGAAAAGTAGAGTTTCATGGAAGGAATGGTTGGTGTCAGCAAAAAGGAAAAAAGGATAGAGCAGAGAGGCATGTCTGTCCTGTGTCCTGTGGCAATTGTCCTGAGGTTTGTGTGGAATTGGATTCTCCTTCTGCCTGACAACCAAAAGAGGTCAGATGTGGGCCCCTTGCCATTTACTCATTTTGAATAATGACATTTTCATGTTGTCTCCCCATCCATGAGCATAGTGTGTTCTTCCACTTCTAAGGTTCTTTGGTTTCTTGTAGTACTTTTGTAGTGCCTTTTTTGCCCCACCCTCCCACCTCCACAGGGCTTTTGTTTCTACAGTTTGCTTTCTTCAAAATACTTCATTTTGGGGGAGGCTATTGTAAATGGATTGTTTTCCTGATTTTTTATTCAAAGTTCTCTTTGTTAGTGTGCAGGAATCCAATTGATTTTTGTGTGCTGATCATGCGCCCAGACACACTGTACCCTATTAATTCAATTCATTTTCTTGATTTTCTGAAAATTTCTATGTGCAGGATCATCTCATTTGCAAGTGAAGATAGCTTTACTTCTTCTTTGCTGATCTGGATCCCTTTCCCTTTCCTTTCTTGCCTTATTGCACTGGCAAGTACCTCCAGCATTACTGTCATGGTCCAAGGGAGCATCCTTTTCTGGCTTTTGCTCATAAGAAGAATTCTTTCAGACACTCTCTGCTGTTAATAATGCTGGTCATTAGTTTTCAGTATATGCCCTTAATAATGTTGAGTAAATGTCCTTCAATTCCTATTTTCCTGAGAGTTTATCAAGAATTGGTATTATCAAATGCTTTTTCTACATCAGTTCATATGATTATATAGCTCTTTTTTTTATTGATTTAGTGGATCATATTGGTGTTTGTAATGTTGAACCTGTATACCTTGAACTTGTATACCTGATATGAATTCTACTTGGTTATGATTAATTATTGTTTTGATACAGTGATATATTCCATTGGCTGAATTGTTGAAAACAACTGTGTCGACAATCATGCCTCGTCTAAGGAGCCTGGGTGGTGCTGTGGGCTAAGCACTGTACTACTAACTGCAAGGCTGAAGGAAAGAGGAGGCGGTCTGCTCCCATAGAGAATGGCAATCTAGGAAACCAGAGAAGCAGTTCTATGGGCAGAATTAGGTCAGAATCGACTCTCTAGCAGTGGGTTTGGGCTGCCTAGTATTACTTCTCTGTCATCTTGTCACACTGTGTGCTGCTTTGATTCTGGAAGTTATATAACCAGTACTCCAAAACCCAAGGTCAACATGTTTCAACAGAGCTTTGGGGTATGGTACACTAGGAAGAATAAATGGTCCACTTCTGAGAAAATAGCCACTAAAACTCCTATTAACAGCAATAGAAGACTGTCTGATATAGAGGAGTCCCTCAAGTGGGACGGCATTCAAAATATGACTGGGGAAGAGCTGCTTCCTTAAAGTAAAGTCAAACTTAGTGATGTGGATTGAGCAAAGCCTTCAGGACCTTCATTTACTAAAGAGGCACAACTCAAAATGGGAACAAATAGTTACAATTGATCATTAATAATCAGAACACAGTATATGAAGTATGATTCTAGAAAAATCAGAACTCATCAAAAACGAAATGGAATGCACAGAAAACCATATTCTAAATATTAATGAGCTCAAGTGGACTGGACTGCTCATTTTGAATTGGACAATTACATATGGTTTGCTATGCTGGGAACGGGAAAGTTAAGAGGAATAGTGTCTCATTTATCATGAAAATGAACATGTCAAGATCTATCTTGACATACAACCTTGTATGTGATAGAATAATATCTATACATGTACAAGGAAGATCAACTAATACAACTATTATTGAAATTAAGACATGAACCACTACACCTAATGACAAGGAAACGGAAGAGTCAACTTCTTCAGTCTGAAATTGATCAAATATGCAAGAAAGATGTGTTGGTAATTACTGGTAATTGTAATGCAAAAGCTGGAAACAAGAGGAAGAAATGGAAGTTAGAAAACATGGTCGTGGTGATAGAAAGGAAGCTGGGGATTGCTTGATAGAATGTTTCAAGACCAACAACTTCTTCATTAAAAAATATATTTTCAACAAAACAAATGGTAACTCTACATGTGGACTTCGATAGCTGGAATACAGAAGAATCCAACTGATTACATCTGTGGAAAGAGACATTGGCGAAGCTCGATATTACC